AGTCTACAATAATTAAAACGTACTTAATTTTATATTTAAAGAAAAAACTAGCGAACTACTACATCTCTTAATTGTCTGCTTGAGAATTTCCATTTATTTTGGTCGATTAGCATTCAGTCAGAACGACTGAAAAATGATTTATGATAACACGTCACTACTCTTTTCTATAGACGTATAGAAGCACAAAATATTTATTCGACAAATCTTTTATTTCAGTAAACTATAAACTAGTTTAGGAAATAAACCTCAAGGAAAAACATTGATTACGCCTTACAGACAGTTGACAATTAATTGTCTAATAACTTTCGAAGGCAAAACAAACGTAACTTACAGTATCGAATTTTTCAGCGACTTATTATTCACAAAGAAACCATACCCCCAGGTAATTTACTTCAAGCGAAAACGCAGCGAAGAATAACAAAACAAATCACCTTACAGATGGATATGAAAATTCAAGAAAACTGCATATAATGAGTGGTAAACATTTCGATTAGTGTTTGTGTCTCTAAGTCAACCAGTTTATCGCAAATAGAGCTTGTCATAAAGTGCGTACTGCTAAGGTAACAAAAAATAGTTTATCACCCAGAACTTGATTTCTTAAGAAGACTTTTTCTTAACTATATCAAGCACTTGGTGCTAGTAATCATGTGGATTTGATTTTAATAATGCATAAGAAACTTTAACATTCACACAAATAATGTGGATTTAAAAATGGGGAAAAAACGTTGAAAAATGAAGTCGTTTTGTCAATAGTCACTTGTCATTTAGAGTAGCGATAGATGGTGGCCAGTGGTGGAATGCAAAATGCACGTTTTGTATTTAAGACTCATCAGGTTCAAATACTTGCAACTCAGAGTTTATATTCACTCCGGAACTGATTGTTTGCAGTTCTAAACAACAATGGGAAGATTCAAACGACGAATACGCGAATGAGTCACTTTTCATGTTTGCTTTGTATCTTACTATTTTCATGTGATAATAATGTATCTGAACAGCGAATTGAAGAAAATATTGTTCAAGTGAAATACCGATGCCGTTACAGATAGCAATCAATATTGGTATAACGATTCGGTATGACTTGATAAGTGATCGTAAACAATACTAAGTAGACGAAACTCGTTTACACATAAATTTACAAAGTATATTCAAGTAGTTACAACTGATTGATCACCGATTTCCTATTTGCCTAGTCCTTTAGTGCTGTTCGAAAAATATCGACAAAGTTATAATTTGGCCACTAGTCTGAATGACTCTTAACACAGTGAACATTTCAGACTAACAGAAAGTCAGGTGCTGTCTCAATAACTCATTAGTAACATCTCAGAATAGGAAGGTAGATAACACAGATTTGAATTCCACAGGGATAATAGTTCCTCGAGATTGCAATTACACCTTAGCGAAGAGTTTCAACTGGCACGAAATCTAGGTCTGTGATGTCCTATCGACTACCGCTTAAACAACAAAAGTATTGAAAGAGTTTTAAAAATACTTGACCATAATGTAGTGAGAATGATATTGCGGATTAAGAAAGCATGGATAATAAAAATTAAAACGTTAAGAGTGAGCGATAATTCACTCATTAAATGCTACCATTTAATCATGTATTATGTATCTCAGCGACTATCAAAATTAATTCCACAACAATCTACAATAAAACATGACTGCAAATGTTATGAAACGATCAATTTCTACACACACAGAGAGAGAGATAGAGAGCCAAGAAAATACAAATGAATAAGCTAGAAGAAGTTATATATTTCACTGCTTAGTCGTAAGTGCAATGTATATTTGTATCTGTACAAAACTGACTATGATATGTTTTGCATTAAATCTAAGCGAAAAATTTACGAAATAAAAGTTCTTTCATGGTATCTTCACACATACATGTAAATAGGTAGAAAAAGTTGGTAAAACATGAATTTTAAGAAAAAGAGAACAAACAAAATATTACATGCTTTATCGACGTTGTGTAGCAGAAAAAGTTGACGACAACGCAAATAAATGAAGTTACAGTTTAAAGATCTCTGGACACTGTATTTCACATAAAAACAATTTACAGAATGGATTACGAAAACTAATCGATTGCCATATACTATCCCGAGGCTAAATGATTAATACTAGAAAGGGAAGTGTGGGCTGACTATGAAATAGATGTCTAATGATGGTAAATGTAATCCTTCACGAAAAGCGACCCATGATGCATGTACTATCACAGAGTTTCCTTTCTTTTAATGAGGTTATACAGGTTGATTTATTTGTCGTTGCTATTATTTCATGCCATTGATATGATTAAAAACAGTGAAACGAAATTCCCAAGTTAAATTAATCGACGGTAAGAAAACAACATAACACAACTTAAAAATTTTGGTGCTGTTGAGTTCTCTGAGGTAGATAGCTTAATGTTCATTTTGGACAACAAATTAAGTAAGCAGTAAAAGCTTCGACACTGAACCATCTTGCTTAGAGTACTCAACAACACCATCAGAATCCAAGTTGTATTATCTTACAATCAACCATTAACAATTTAAAAAAAACGGAAAATCCTTGATTTCCATTTAAATGATATGACAAAGGTGTGGATGATCAACCTACTAACAAAACTACTACTTATGCACACCATAAGAATAATTACATTGAAAGAACGATAAATGAATTTCGCACCATCGGATAAAGGTTTTCGATTTAAAAAGTCCAATCCAAACTTGTAAATAAAATTTTAAGTTTATTAATTTAGAACTTTTATTAGGAGTTTTAACAAAACTACTCTAAGAAGTAATGTGATACATAAAATGTCCTTAAGTTACATATGACGCAACAGTCATCAGACGTTAGGATACATCACTTTTAGACTTGAATTAATAAGTACAAAAAAGTGACTGAAATCGATTTTTATGTCACTATTCATAAACTTTTGTTAATTAAATAATCAACCAAATTGTCAAGTAGAATAATGTGAGCTAATTAAAAATGCCTTCATTTGGCACCTGAATAGCTCAGAACTAATAAGAAAAAGTCTATTAGGGAATCATGCAGTAATCATTATACGATATAAGAAGGAAATCACACGAAGAGCCTAATAATTCAGATTCCATCTGAAACACGACTCAAAAAGAAGTCGTTTGTTTGAAGAAATCACTTTACCGAAAGATTAAGAAATTTACTCTTAATATAGACTGGTAAAAGTTGAGTTCAGTTTGTAGAGAATGAGATTTGAAATCAAATGATCAAGCTTTGTTTTCTGCATGTTCTAGACGTTACCTTCTGGGTTGTTGATTTTGACTGCTAAGGATTTCAGAACTAGGCTGAAGCACCTCCTAACTGTCGCCTAACTTTCAACAGTTCACCAAATGACATTAGTTCACGATGTAAAATAATGATCAAATCATACAAAATATTTTCTAAATTATTTAATTTAATGATAAGAGTAAAACCTTACGTTTCCTAGATTTGATGGAAATAAGTAAGCAACAAAAGCGAAAATAAAACACCTTTTTATTGCAACCATTTATCTCAGTAACAAGATGGTCCTATTCATCAATACGTGCACAGAATACATTTCTCACAATAAGAATATATTGTAACATTTGATAAACTGCATTTCAAGGCAAAAGCATGTTTCATCTAAAACAGCAAGCTATTATGCGCTTTTCACTAAATCTAATTTGTCATGCTTTTATTTTGTATGTTTTAATTTAGAACATTTATTTATTCTCCTGAAACTTTTGTGTCTGTACTCAGTATGGCGAACTAATTTGTAGTCAGACAGAATTACATACTAGATTAAATCTAAATAGTGAATTTCGCTGTTAGTCACGAATAAATAAATTGAACATTATTTATTAAAATAATGAAGACTCTACATGTTAAAACAAGTCGATCGACATTATTTGCTGTGTATACTAAGATTACGGGATAGTAGGCATAAAATATACTTGAGATTTAAATTAGTTATGAAGCTTCAATCTACATGTTATTATTTATTAAACACAATAAGATACTTTGTAACGGAATGAATAGACTGGTAATTTTGAAAAGTATGAACTCTGAGAACTTGGGTAGTGTTAATAACTGTGTGCGTAAACCGAAAGGAAGCCGAGAAACATTTCAAATGAATTTCTCCACTCAGTATCCTTCGTGGAAACGCTCTAGGAAATTCTATGAATCCATGAATTCATGTTTCTCCTTAACAAAGCATAGACGTTGATAGAAATTTCGAAACTATTCTATGGGTTTCAAAAACTCAACCTGTATTAGTAAGCATAGAAATAACCATGGAAGTGGGACTTCAACTTCATAATTCTTATGGTTTGTTCAGGACAAAGAATGTAGAATAATGAGAATTTAGAAACCAAAGAGAATCTCAATGTCTTTGTTCTGTTCGGTCTCGCGCGCGAACACCGATCAGTCCATGATGTTGAGCAATCGTTATCCATTGCCTGTAGAGCATAACTATCCCATACCCGATACGGACTGAGCTTCACTGGTCTCAACTTCTCACCAGAACTCCAGGAATACATCTTGAAGCTAGTCACTAGTGATTGTGACTCATGAAAAGGATTTGTAGAGATTATATTCATTAATAAATGACTGTATACATGTTACAGACTGAACAGTATTTGCAAAACATTTTATTTAGTTATACACATCATTGAACATGCGGAAGATTTATATATACATCCAGCTCAGAGAACCAAACACCACCACAATGAATAGAATTATTTTCCGTAACACTCAATTTTCAGGTGAAAATCGATGAACTGGGCTTTCGCTCCCACTTATTTATTTATGCAAGAACCACAACATAGCTGCCCAAATCAAAGTAGGTAGGGCAGAAGACGAATCGGTAACATGACAAGTTAAAGCGAGACATCTTAACCATCAAGTTACCACTGCGCTATTTTTATGTATTGAAATACGGTTGGTTATACCAGTAAAATATATATATATAAGTAAAAGCATATCAATATAAAAATAAAACAATAGAATTTTAATTCACTTGCATTCTTGTTTAAACGTGAAGTATTCCGTTAAATGTCGACATTCATGATTACCGCGTAGAAGATAAAATGTTGTCGGATGAAGAATTTTCAATGCCCATAAATATAAAACACACTAGAAACGTAAAATCAATGAAAGAAAAAACAAAATAACAATGCAAAGTGATTTCATTCAAGTGAAGTTTAAAGAATAAACTGTAAACTAAAAATATGCCTACATAAATAGTGGTATTTGTTCAATGAAAAGAACTATATAATATTTATATTATTGATCATCTTATAATCGATGGACTGCGTGATTAATGCTAATCGAATTCTATCACACAGGTTGCAACTTGTCACTAGATTGAATGACTCAGTGTCATGTGAACTGTGTTGAAACAGTAGATGGTTGGAGACAGTCGACAGGAAATCCTGATGTTTGTTATATCACTTCAATAGATAAACTAACAATAGATGCATATGAAATAAACAATTTCCCCTTTTTTTTAGTAGAATACTGAAAGTTTAATAAATCACAGTATGATAATCGATATCGAAAGATGTGTAGCCATCGTATTTATTTATGCTAGTACAACAACAACAACAAATCTAATAAGAGTAGGAAATAAGGAAGAAAACGAGAAAACATAAAGAAATTATAACAGCATACTTAGATTGACATTAATCGGAAGTCCATCATTTACGGTAAACTTATTCCACTCCTATTGCCAAGACGATTATAATACGTAGTTTTCGAAACCCTTCCATCCTCTTTATCCCTGTGACCTTTAACCTTTTACGTCTAATCTACTTAATTCTCTTTCCATATCCTTGCTGAATACGTTATTATCTTCCATTTTATGTCACGCCATCATCAGTTTCTTTGTGAATATTTAATGTTTTAGCAAAAACATTTTTATTTCTTGTCGGCATGCATATATCTTCCGATAATTATCACGAGCCGTATTTCACCTCATTTGGAACTTGTAAGTTGGGTGTAGCTGCTGAATCTTAGTGTTGATGTTCTCACTAGGATAGGGAATGTTTTTTCTTCAAAATCCCAATACGTTAGTTGCCGATCTACCCGGTTCTAGATAGCTATTTTAAATTGATCAACGGGTATAGATGTGAGTTATCTCGTTATTGATAATCCGGATTGAATTTTGATCCATCTTTGCTGGATAGTCCCCAAATACAATAATAGAATGAATGTACTTTACTTTAATGACAGACGTAATCCATCTATTCTAAATACATTTCCCGTTTCCGAAATAATGACATTATAACTGTGTTTTGATCATTCTCACGATATTCAGTAAATTATCATCAATATCAACATAAATATTATCGATTATCACTATGGGCAAAAAGCGTACATATGTGTGAATGAAGTTGGCAGAAAGATTGGTCACTTTCTTGTTCTAAATGATGTTTGCTATTCAATTCACAAGTTGAAAAATACAATCAATCAATCAATCATACATTACTTGCAATTAAACTTGACACTATCAACTGCCCCCAGTATGCAAACAAATCAATAAATAAAAGCTAGGTGACTTTCAAAACTCGAAGGAATTACGCATAAAATGTTGTTATATTTTAATAACAGCAAGATGGAATACTAACTAACGAAATCACACACAATAATGCCAAGCATACATAAGAGACGGTTGCATAAATACAAACAAATAATAACAAAAACAAATTACCTCTGTCCTCCCTTTTTACCACACACGCACACACACACACATACACACACGCACAAGGAATAAGAAAAAATAAACGACAAAAACCGTATATACCCTGAAAAAAACTTCTGTTCATGTTCCCAACAAAAGAAATAAAAAATTTAAAGAAAAATTTATTTGTTGATTTTGTTTCTTTTAGTTAGTTAGTTGGTTTTTTTTTTCTTCTTCTTTTAAAGAAACAAAAACCCAAATGAAAAAAATGAATGTAAAATGAAATCGGAACTTTTTTGTTTAATAATAATAATAATAATCAATGAGTAACAACAACAACAACAACAACTAATCTGAATACAACACAAATGAAAATAAACAAACTGAACAATTATAGGATCGCATGGGTGGAGGGCAAGAAATACTTAACTACTACTACTAAAATAAGAAAAGAATAGGATGCAAGAAGGAAAAGAAGTGGGAAGAGGAGAAAAGGATCGATGAAATAATGAAAAGCCATTTATATAATTATTATGTAACTACTGGTTGCCGAAAAACTTGAAAAGCGAGAAGACGAAGAGAAGAACGAACCAAATAACAACAACAACAACAACCTAGATTCGATCCAATTTAATTATTGTGACAAGAGGAAAAAAAAAGAAAGAGAGAAGAGAAGGACTCTATTCACTCAATTCACTCTTCTAATAAAAAAAAAGAACAAATAAGAAAAACGAGAAAATAGTAAATTAATAAAATAACAGTTTTATTTATGTTCTTCTAACCGATCACTTAGTTAGTAAGCGTCGTATACAACCAAGATAAGAGGATAATTAGATTTCATAGTGTGTGGGATTTCATCGAAAGAAATGAGAAATCGCAGAAAAGGAAGAGAACTAGAGAAGAAAGAAGATCTATCGAATTAGGGGGATCGTATGTATTTTTTTTATTTTGTGTAACAGTGAATCATTTGGCAAGAAAATAAATATACAATACACGTTGTATTCAAACAATTCACAAAATTTAGACAAAAATGTTTGTTTCAAGATTGGTTATATTATGATCATTATTACTATTATTCTGAAACTAACGGGTAAATAATTATTGATCGTGATTAACTGTGTTTTTTTTGTCCAAAAATAAATACACACAGCAATATGACGAAATTACTGGAGAGACATCAACATTAGTTTTCGTCAGAATATGCGAGAAAAGCTAAGTTGAAAATACATGACATATGTATGCGTAATGTGATCGATCAACTCCAGTGACACTATAATAGTAACGTCATTAAATATTGGATCTATATTAACCTAAGTAAGAGTGTAGAATCTCTAATGGTCACGCTACCTAGACAATAGATACTGGTTTTTTGTCATCGACTGATTGGTTGATTCATAGAAATTAATCGGATTATCCAAAAAAGCAGATAAGAAATCGTGTACAAAATGGAACTGCACAAATTTCACACAAATAATGCTATCAACAGTAGTATATCGAAATTTAAAATGAAAATCGAGAAAATAACACACTGAAAACTGAAGCATCTAGTATGATATAAAATATCTGTTAAGGAAGTAGGATTCTGTGAATTGATGAATAGATTTTTGACCTTTAAGAGGAAATGAAATAATACCAATCACTTCATAATATGCAGTAAAACAATGTAACTGAACGATGCCTGTTCCTGAAACCGAATTGTTGACGTAAGCGCAAGGCATTACTTCAGGTTAAAGAAACAATATTTTTCTGGAAAAATAACATGCTTGTATGCAAAATATTGTACGCAAGAATCAGCATCACTAAATAAAATTAATTCTGTAGGCTGATCGTTCTCCAATAGATTAAAATTTCATTATTAGGCCTAAGTCTCATCTATCATATCCCTGAAACAACCAGTAAAGGATTAGGAGCGAATGCAATCGAACCAATTTAGGCCATTAAACCATTTTTAAACTATGCCAAATCGCCTGTGAATTTGAATACACAGAGCCTCCAATTTTCCAGCAATGAATTTATCCCACTTATCTATCAACAACAGACCAATTAAGCAAGGTAACTAACTGATCGAATTCTTTACTTCTTATGACAAGCCGAAAGCCTCCATAAACACTAAGATGGTTACAAAAAATAGAAATTAAGGACTGAAGGAGATGCAAAGTCGCACTAGTTCACAAGCAAGAATGATCTTTAACACAGTAAGCTTTCTTGAAGTTTACCAGAGAATGATCTATTTACACAACACGTTTGATTGATCATGTAGTTGAGTTAGGTTAGATATCATACAAATTTAAAAAGTTCTAGTTTATTCATACAATAGGCTGAAGAAAGCAGCTTCTAAATATAAAATGAAATAACATTTTTTAAGATGTACAAATTTGGCTAGATAGTTGGCAAAAATTCAATTTAATTTCAGAAACAATAATAAATTATATGTGCGCCTTAATCTTTTTTAACATAATACTGCATCATATATATATGTATATATATATATATATGCATAGGGTGATAATTGCTAAATAAGTATTGTGTATGATCATAGTTTTTTCGACTGAAATTCTCGACGAAATGATCTTTAAAAAATGTATATAAACAGAGTGCAGCATATCAGACACGATTTTATGAAGGGCAAATACAACCACGAAAGTGAGTAAACGATAAACAAATAAATGATCTGCAGAAAAGTGACAATCTGTGACAATATCGGCAAAAGTAGTAACAAACGTTGTTGTGACAGTGTGGTTGCTATAATCAATAGGCCAGGGTCAACATAAATACAAGTTGTACAGTCAAAAAGCTTCCTACTCAAATGACGTAGGCAGTTGTTATAGATTCATTTTTGACCGAAAAAGACAATCAATATTGACAATACCTGAGCAGGTGGTATATTATAGAGATTACCATAGGGACAGAACACTGATGGTGAAATGTGTACTAGAAACGGTTTCTGTGGGGGGAAAAGATTGCCACAGACAGAGTAATCAGTAACACTTGAATAACGCAAAACAGCTACTTGATCCATGTATTCAAGGCTTATCTTACATGCTTCCAAAATAGGTTTGATCAAAATATAGCATGAATATACATTTATTCCGGTCGAAATTGCCCTATCTATATCAGTAAAGTAGCATGAACTTAACAAGATGAATAGTAAGGTTCGAATAACAATAATAAATGTAAATAATAGTCAGTCACTTAGAATAAGAGAAAAAGAATTTCTGATTAACTTATACTTTACAATTAACCTCATAAACTGACCCTGGTTAGCTAATTAAGCAGTATTAGATAGCTTATTCATCAACTTATTCATCAACTCAACAAAGTGCACCCAAGATTCCACTGGTGAGTAGAAGTTACAGCTTTTAGGCTTTGCAGTCTCTATATGAAGCAATAATCATGTGCTTACTAGTCACTAACGCCCATAGATAATTTTCAGAGTTCTAAAGAGAATTAAGTA